TTGGCTAAAACCGGATCGGCGAGTGATGTCCTCCATGGACATAAACTACACCACTAACAAAAAGATATGTACAGCACAAACATACGTTTCTGTCCATGGAGGACATCACTCGCCGATCCGGTTTTAGCCAAGGCGATGTGCTCATATGTTTTGTCCGGTTTAAGGATACGGCTGCCAAATCTACTCGGACTGCTAGGGCTTCGTGCACGCTGTTCGTTATTAAAAACATTTAGCAGCGATCGCTGTTTATTTACTGCTGCGAAATTTGTCGAAGCATTGCCTGCATGAGACTTTTGCCAAAGTATCGGCTTCATTTTTAAATAATTTGCTTGCGGTTTTGTCGACGTTTCCAATGAGCTCATAGAAACAGAGAGTCCATTTGCTTTTATACTATAAACAAATATCTATGTATCTATAAATTCACTGAAATGATGCATTTAAATATGTATGTACAATGTATTAATGCACATACATAAATGAAAAAATGAACATGGGACGAATGCACATAAATATATATAAATAATTACGAATAGATATAGCGCATAGGAGTAGCGGCTTAATAAGCCGGGAAAAGTTTGTTAACCAAGTAATATGTAGGCTTTTTGTACGTATTCTCATAAAAGAGCAGCGGGCTGAGGGAAGAGAATTTCATCAAAAAATATGTGATAGTTCTATGATTTCATAAATAAAGCAAATGTAAACAATTTGCATTTGAACGATTCTAGGCGCTCCCCTTTTCCAAATGATCATAGTATAAAATTGCAGGGTAATCACTTCATAAGACAAACTATTTTTGATGGACGGTTACATTTTTATCGCACATGGTAATTGGAGTTCTGTACTTTTTTGTTATTTTATGAGCAATGAGAATCATCAAGCACGAAAGCACGAATGGAGTAATGCTTAAAACAAAAAAATACATACATATATACACATAAAAGTCCCACAGTTGCAGATGATTTAAGATAAATAGTAATGCATTATATATTTTCACAGCTATAGACACTTACATAACTTTGGTTAGTTTTGAATAAATGGTTGCCATTTATATGCATGATCGGGTAAATATATGTATGTTTATAAGTAGGTGTTTGTATGTAAATAATAATAAAGCTTCGGCAATCACATAGTTAATACCATACAAAGATTGATTATAGTGCTGGGTTGCATCTCAAGCGATAGGATACGAGTAGCTGTTTAATGACAAATCTATGTCAAGTTTATGATAATGGTCGTGGACAATGGGTGCATCAAATGGAGCATTCTGAGTGTGAGGTACAATACACAAATGTGCCATTCATTCTTTCCCAGTCTTACGTCTTTGGCATTAGAAATTCCTTGTGTGATGTGGCACTGACTTTTTGTTCGTTAGTCCTTCGATCGAAGGTCACATTTGGCACTGGCGAGATGGAACTATCGCTGCGTTCATGATCATCCGCATCGCTAAGCTCGTTAATTGGTTTGAAATGAGTGCCATTCGAAGCGTCTTTATAAAAATCTAATAACATACATATGTATGTATATGTTTGAGAGTTTTTAGATAAAAAAGAATTATCCCAATTTTTACCTTTTATTGCGCACACAATTTCATAGGTAACGTGAGGTGGATAGTCTTTAAGCAAATCAAGCGCTGTGTTACCTGCACCGTCAGTAGCATTTGGATTGATACCAGCTTGCAATAGAACATTGACCACCGCTTTTTTGCCGCAAAGTGCTGCCTCGTGCAGAGCAGTTCCCGAATTCGTCATAATGTTAACGTCCACTCCAGCGGCTAGTAGCGCTTCTACCACTTTTTTGTGTCCATTACGACTAGCTAAATGCAAACATGTGTGAGTAAAGAGATGTGTTGATGGCGAAATGGTGTATGGGGTGCACTCAGCTACCGGGCTGGAGGGTGTATTACTACCAGACGAGCGATAAGGAGCCAAAAGTTCTGGATGTGTGCGTATTAGTGTTTGAACTGCCTGCAACCGTCCGAATTGCGCTGCTAGATCTAGTGCAGTTTGAAAACTATTGTTGCGGACAGTGGGGTCCGCGCCGTAGGCAAGCAAAATGGCTAAAACAGTGTTGTGGCCGTGTTGTGCGGCACAATGCAGTGGAGTTTCATTATCAATAGTCTGCAAATGAAATCAGAATAAAATTTAGAAGAAAATTAGGAAAGTTTTGTTTCAAACCTGCGCATTTGGATTAGCTGCTTTGGGCGTTTGCAGTAATAGTTGTTTAACTATCTCATCATGACCTGCCCATGCTGCTAAATACAATGGAGTTGAGCCTCTGATGTCTGGCATGTCAGGTACAGCATTATGAGCCAATAAGATACGCACGATGTTGATGTGGCCATTCAGACAGGCGTGATGTAGTGGGGTATATCCATTAACATCTTGACTGTTTATACATGGACTGCGACGAAAGCTTTTGACGAAAATTAAAAAGTTAGTTGTATATACATATGTAAATACATGCTTATTTCAATTCGGTATAGATGTAACAACCTTGAGAAAGGCCCACTGCTGCGTTTTGTAATCTGCTCAAGAATTTTGCCGACTACAGCAATATTTCCAATGCGTGCTGCTTCCAGCAGATCTTGATCTTTGCCCATTGCAACTTGCAGCGCAGTTGGTGGATACTTCAAAATGCTATAACGATTACTAGAAAAAAGAAATAAACAAAACAAAGTTAGTGAAAAGCATGACTAATCGGGCACACGTTCTGATTACATCTGTAAATTATCTTGTTGAGCAATGCTATTAGATACATTGGTTCAACACAGATTTCTGTAGATTCACCTAACTCTACGTTACACTTAAGACGACTTTATCTTGATTTTGAAGATACAATTTAGAAATAACCAAATAACGGACTTCTTGCAATTAGTCAATTATCAACAATTGTTGCTAATTGTTATCTACGCCAACGAAACATTTGTTTACTTTATGCTCAAGGTCTCTACACCCACTCAATGCCACGAAATGTGTATGTCTTCATTGAATAGTCGCACAGCTTGAAACCTTTACAATCGTTTGAAATTACCAATTTGGCACACAAAATCGTATTCGTCATAACTTTCGCACGTATTTCATTTATTATAAATATAAATTTCTCTGCCCAAAAACCACTAATGCAAATTTCTGCCCGTTCTATTTTCCAAGTTGTCCGGGAGTTGCCGGACTATTAAAGGTTGACAATTGAATTATTAACACGGTCCGCTGAGATAGTTTTGTAAACTTAATTTTAATCGAATTGTCTCGGGGAAAGGTTACATAATGATTCAGTTCAATAGCGGGGTTTACATAATCATAATCATAATGTTGGATTTGACAAGAGCTATTTAATGTTAAAAAGGCTTTGAAATATTTAACTTTCCAAAAAGTTCATGAGACTGAAATTAATTTCACAAAAATTGTTTTGGGTGGATTTCTTTAGTGGTGGCAACACATTACAAAATGACTTCATTGAGTGAACTCAGCAACTCATTTAAATAGCTGCCAACACGGTTGCCAACTGTTAAAAAAAATAAGAAATCAAAATCTCACGATATAGAGAGACGGGGATGGCGCATTCAGCAGTACTGCTACTTTGGTTTTGGCGAATTTGACAGCATCAGCTGTGCGTGTGACGTCAGCATAGAACTGTCCGCGTTAAGTTTGTTCTCGTACGAATAGTTACTAATAATTATTACTAGTTTTTGCTAATGAACATTTTTAACTATAAAAAATGCAGAAACAATTTGCTAAGAACTCGCGTTACTAATTTCTACTAGCTCGGTGTTTCATTATTCTTCTTTATTTGGCTCTTTCTGGGCGTAATATTAAATTTTTCTTCGATCTTCAATTTTCTGTTCGAAAAGTAAATGAAGAGACAACTACGATTTGTTTACAAATGGCGGCTGCGTCTTTTTTGTCTCCTACATCTCCTCTATTCGTTGTGAACGTGACGTCATCACTCACAAGAATGCGCAATCTTATGTTCTATCATTCTTGACCAAAATCTTAAGGAAAACAGCCAAATTGAAAAAAAAACCAAATTTTTTTTGTTTAATCTATATGTCAGACCCGTCCCAGTTATTAAACCTACCTTTTTTTAATGGAGAGTTTTGTTGTGATGAGGCTGACGGCAAAAAAAAATCACAGCGCTTAGTTAACTCAGAATCGTCAGTTAACTACAGATTTTCAGTACCATTATTAAATCATACAAGCCGGTTCCCTGGAAGGTTTCTTTCCTTTCCCTTTCCTCCTATCATGAATAAAAATCTATGTGGGTTTTTTATTTTAAATGGGGGAGTGAGCTATGAAAAAGTGTCAAATCTGCAAAAATTGCGACTACTCCATGCCTGCATAATTTATAAAAAAAAGATGGTCCAATTAACATTACGGTATCCAGGACAGGACCATATTCTCCATCTATGCATTACATCAGAATAGCACAAAACTACTCCAACATATCAACAATGGCATTGTTGTTATATTT